TTCCATATTTTTTACTAGAAAATTTACCACAAATTTTGTCTTGATCGTACCCGCGAATCTCCTATGGATTCAAAGTTGAACGCAATTTTCTAGCTCCAATCCCTAAATCCGGCGCCGTGAATGAGAACCTTTTGTGCGAGAGAGAAGTCTCCGTCTCACCCCCACTCCCTACAGTATTGTTCAGACTATTTGCGCATGCGCGCACGGGCCTGTGGATCGTCACGGACTGGATGCGAGAAAAAGAATCATTTGAGGTTTTTCGTCAGCCGTTCGCTCTCTCTCCCAATCACTCTCTCTCTCTCTCTCTGTTGAAAAAAAGGCTGTTTGACGGAGAACTAAATTACCTATCAATTAACCCTCTTTCATCCCTTAATCTCTGTAATAAATGGAAGAAACTGTCATGAAAATCACAACGCAGTAAGAAAAATAATTGTCTCGCGGCGCACAGTGACTCCCGGTAATTAAAAATTCACCTCTCCCCTCCTAATTGAGATTAAGGGATGAAAAAAGGGCAGTTCGACGGAGAATTAAATTCCCCATCAATTAACCCTCTTTCATCCCTTAATCTCTGTAACAAAAAAATATAAACTGCCATGAAAGTCATGGGCCAGTGAGAAAAATAATAGTTTCGCGGCGCACAGTGACTCCCGGTAATTAAAAATTCACCTCTCCCCTCCTAATTGAGATTAAGGGATGAAAAAAGGGCAGTTCGACGGAGAATTAAATTCCCCATCAATTAACCCTCTTTCATCCCTTAATCTCTGTAACAAAAAAATAAAAACTGCCATGAAAGTCATGGGCCAGTGAGAAAAATAATAGTTTCGCGGCGCACAGTGACTCCCGGTAATTAAAAATTCACCTCTCCCCTCCTAATTGAGATTAAGGGATGAAAAAAGGGCAGTTCGACGGAGAATTAAATTCCCCATCAATTAACCCTCTTTCATCCCTTAATCTCTGTAACAAAAAAATAAAAACTGCCATGAAAGTCATGGGCCAGTGAGAAAAATAATAGTTTCGCGGCGCACAGTGACTCCCGGTAATTAAAAATTCACCTCTCCCCTCCTAATTGAGATTAAGGGATGAAAAAAGGGCATTTCGACTTAGAAT